TTATTAGGCTGATTTTAACACAGTGCACTGCTAGAGTGAAGTTGTCAGAAGAGCAGGGGGCGGGGGAGGTACTCTGTGAGATCGGAAAAAGTGAAAATTGAAGCCTTTTGGGGTGGTGGCTGGAAATGAGTCATTGTCAGTAATTCCAAGGTGCTGTCAACTCCTCAAGAGAAATGACGGGACACCCTGGGAGGAGGGCTGGTGAAAGTGTCAACTTGCAGTCACCAGGGGCCATGTGTGGGGTAAGAAGTGTCAGTCATATCACATCCCTGTCCTGACCTGGGTTAGAGGGAAACCAGGGTCATGGCACAGTGTTAGCTTAGCCTTGTAACCATGGAACTTTGTTACCTGCCTGTCAGCAGAGAACTGACATGCTCAACTTTCTCACGGAGAGTTCAGAGCTTTAATGTCTCAGGGGATTTTCAGTTTAAAAGAACAATGAGAGGGCAATGCTTAGGGAAAAGAGTCTCGGAGGAAAGAGACTTGATGGCATAGGAAGAGCATTTTTGATCAAGGACTTCCCTAAGGTCACTGAGAAGAACCACTGGGGTCAATATCACTTCATTATCCACTTGGAAAGTCTAGCAGCTGTCATGGAGTCCAAAACACTTGGAAATAATTCGAGAAAATGTTGACTGCCCATAGACAGGATATCTCCACCGTTTAAGCCACTGCTTTCCCTTCTGTGCTAGTGGTAGCCTTCTGAATGTTTGTTTGGGCTCTGACTGGGCTCTGACTTGTCTGGTCTCCTTCAGTTTCCATTGCGTCTGTTCTAGTCCTCACTGAATCCCGGGGACTCTTTTTAACTGAAACACTCCCTGATTGCCTGATTTCCCAGGCTTCATTTTGTTTCTATCAACATATAGAGATTCAGTTTCAAACCACCAACATAACAGCCATGCCACTGTTTCCCCAGTGGCCGTAGCTTGCCTGGGAGGTCATGATTATATCTACCAGGACACAGAGCTGGACAAAATCATAGATGATTTCCTCCCAGCAGGCTGTGTAGCCCCACATGGTACTGGGAAGACTAGCCCACTCCTCTCTAGCTTGATCTCCCCACACCCTGCAGCCAAAGTGTTCAGCGTGCTCAGCAGCAAAGACCCAGTATTAAACTAGACTAGTCCTCTTTTGTCCTCTGCTTTTTACTTTCACTGCATTTGTTCCTTTTAGTTTTTTGAACACAGTGAAATTCATCTTTGTCATTCTTTTTGGTTAATTCGTCATTCTTCTTGGTTCCGTTCTGTTCTTTTTGGCCTAGGCTAAATATCACCTCTTCCTAGAGGGAGTTTCTGGCCCTTGCTTAGTTGAAACTCCCTGACACATATATGTTGTTATGTCCCACAATATTGTTTTATAATTCTTGCAACAAGTTTTTGTTAGATTATTGATATTATCTATGGTTTGTTCTAACCATTGCATATACATTCTCCTAAAATGTCTAATGTAAGGGATTTACAAATATTTGTAGAATGAAAAAAATTATGAGCAAAAGAATTCACAAATGAATAATAAACATTACTTCAGCTACTTTGGTAATCAAAAAGTTGAGACATCACACACCTGACATTACAGAAGTACGAATTGATTTGGGTAAGAGAAAATCAAATACACTTACCAACAACTTTCCAGTGGTTTTCGGCACTTCGTCCCCTTCATGCCTTCTGCTCGGGTTAGCTTTGAGAGGTGGAAGCTACAGAACACTTTTCAGTAGACCACTGGTTTTCAACATCTCCAAAAGAGCTGATTGAAATACAGATCAATGAAGTCCCCGCCTTCAGTGCTTCTAATTTAAAAGGTTCACAGTGGGTTTTGAGAATTTACATATCTGGGGCGGGGGCTGGGGAGATGGTTCATCAGGTAATGTGCTTGCTGTGCAAGCACAAGAGTTTGAGTTTGGATCTCTAGCAACCACATCTGTATCGGGACTTTTGGCATGCCTTTTACAGGGTGGAAGAAAGGGGTAGCTCCTTCAAGGATCTGGAGAGTCAACCAGTTTAGCCAAAATGGTGAGCTCTAGGTTCACTCAAAGATGCTTTCTCAAAAAGTAAGATGTGTAGCACAAGGTTTAAATTAAACTATGTAACTTTCATGCTCCAACCATGGTCACAAAGGAACGTTATCTTTATCTATTTCTTTCGTTTCCAGTCTTAGCTCTGAGAGTACTTGATAAGGTCCTTCAAATTAGAAGGAAAATGAGTAATTGTAGGTCAACACATTATGTGTCCACAGAAAAGTTGTATTCTATTAATAACATCTGATCCAAATGTGATGTCCGGAGAACAATGATAATTAAGAATGTTTAATCTTTATAGTCTACCTTCTGAGTGGAATATTCCCTCACATATTGTTAATATATGCTTTGACAAGTGTCAGATATTCTGTGACTTGATAGCTTAATGGAACTATTTATCCATAGTTTAGAAATAACCACATGTATGGGATTAAAGAGTATCTTGATTATGATTGTTTCTTATATATTTTAGTTGTTAATTATGTGTTTAGAGTTACAAATTTTATTTTTTTAAGTGTATGAATACCTTCCTGGTGAGTATTATGTATACCATATGTATACCTATGTCTGTGGAGGTCAGATGAAGGTGTTGGACCCCTTAGAGTTGGAGTTACACATAAATGTGCGCCACCATATGAGTGATGGAAATAACACCAGGGTCTTCTGCAAGAGAAACAAGTGATCTTAGCTGCTGAACAAGCTTCCCAGCTTCTGTAGTAGGTAATCTCGATTGTCAATTTGATTGGGTCTTGAGTTAGTCACAAGACATGCCTCTGAGCAGGTTGGTGAAGCATGTTTTGAAAGGACTATCTGAGGGAAAAACAGTTTCCACTAAGGTAGGCATGACCTTCCACATCCAAGGAAAGCTCAACCTTGCTAGTAAGCCAGCTTCCCTTCTTAACAGTGAGTGTGTCTGCCTCAGGGGTCCTGCTACTGACACTGGAACTCAGCTCCCACAGCATCTGCATTTGTGGATTTGGGAACAGCAGTTTTACAAGACTCATCAAGGATTTTAATGGCAGATTGGAAATTCTGAGGATATCCAGCCTGTTTGGTCAAAAGTGAGACCCCAGTCCCCTGACACCCCTATATACGAGAAGTCTAGGATATTTGGGTGAAAGTGTCATCCTTGCCCCTGGCACCCATCATTGGAGCACCAATGGAGCAGGAATGGAGTAGGAAGTTTCATTTCAAGCCCCCGCCCTCTGGGAGTTGCCTTTGTCTGGACTCCACCTCCAGGAACTCTGCCAAGCTCTCACTCCTCCCCAGGAAGGGTCAGGACCATTCCCACAGGCTTTTTAGGAAAGAAAAACAAGTTCTCCAGGTTTTGTGTGGTCTCCTCCTCTCTCTCTCCTCATCATACTTTATCAGGCCACCCGGGAACATTGCATTAATTTAAACATGGGCATCTTTTATTCAGTTTAATTTCGTCTGATTGAAATTATCTGTATTGGCAGAGAGGCTCGTCTTAAAAAATATACCTAACATTTGGAAGTTTCATTGAGAAGTAACCTCCATTTTGACCTTTCTGTCATCTTAGATAAGAGTACCCACACGTGCTAATATACTTTGACTTATTAAAATAGTCCTTTTAACCTTCTTACATTTACTAGCATTGGTAAACTGTAACTAATTGGATAAAATACATGTCTAAATTTAGTTTACATTTTTAGTTTAAAATAACAGGTAATGGTACCCAATTCTCAAGTGCCTTTACAGATCTGGGAATATGGCATTTAACATTTGTGTCGGTGGAGAGGCTCGTCTGAAGAATATTACTAACACAGCCCTGTAGACTGTGCAGTTACTAGATTCTCAGCTGCTCCAATATCCAGAGAGCCATTACTCAGTTACGCAGTCTGTATCATATAAGCCTGTCTTTTAAAATCATGTTGGTCATAGAGTATCATTTTATCAACTCTGTTCCTTTACAGCCTCCTTTTACCACGTCTATTCTACAGAGATCTCTTTGTTAAAAAGTATTTTTCGGACAGTGAATATATTCTCTACTAGGATGTGGAAAAGTCAATGCATGTGTTTACTTAGACACACATACATATATAGGTATAGACTTAGAGAAGATGCATTTGTATATATGTATTTATAGATGTGCATATGCATATATACACATAGACATAGATGTAGCAAAGAAATGTGTGTATGTATGACAAATATATGCAGACATAGGTGAAGTTGTAGCAAAAATGTGTATGTGTGTGTGTGTGTGTATAATCTATACTGGATTTTCATACTGCATTATATCTATGTGAATGAAATTATGTCCTGTGAAATAGTACATATTGTTATCTTTCATAACGTGGGGTGACCCAAGGCCGGTACAAGCAACAAGGATATATATATATATATATATATATATATATATATATATATATATATATTATATAATAGATATATATATAATAGATATATATAGATATAAATATATATATATATTAAAATGAGAAGTCTGCATATGCCTCACTCTCATTAAATAAGCTTTAGGAAAATTTTAAAGGAAAGACCTTTGAACAATCGAACTGAAAGTACTGGGAACTTGAACGGTTTAGTGATTTTACTTTCCTTTGTGGCGAAGACATCACAAGTCTTGAACAATTCACTAGATTGATTTAATTTGGAGACATTCCCATATTTTTCTGAATATCTATCCTAAATCTCTAGCTGAACCTTGTTAGAAATTGATGAAATGTTCTACCCTGTGCCACATACACACAGAGTTTAATTTCAGCGTGAGACTCTCATTGATAGCCTACATTCTACTTAAGGAAAATGCAATGTATTTCTTTCTCGATCAGTACAACTGCTTCTACCAGATAGAGATGAAGATGACTCACTCCAAGAGCACAGGCTGCTACGGGAATCCCAGCCCTGGACCAGGAAGGCCATTGCTATTTCCAGGCAGATCAGAAGCAGAGAAAGTATCTAGATGTAGTCACATGCTGAAGTTATAATTTTGGAACTGGCAGAGAATGAATTGTAATCCAAGTCTGTCACTGGCAAACATAGTGTATGTTAGAGTGAGGTCAGCATCCACTGTGGAACCACTCACGGTGATTGAATGTCAGGATGGGAATAATACACTTTCACAACCCAAGGCGTCAGAATAGTCTTTAAATTATGTGTGTTTGCTCTACTCCCCTCCCTTCCTCGAAAAATGTATCGCTCAATAAAATGAATAAAAAAAGTTATGTGTGTTTGCTTAACTCCAAGGAACTGTGCAAAGTCTATTTCTCTCATACTTTTCAGGACAATGATTTTATACTTTTAAAAGCTTGCTTTGAGAAGCACTACACTATCTCTAATCCCCATGAGTCTTCTCTGTTTCTACTTCTGGACAGACTTTCTTTAATTCCATTACTTCAGAATCTTGTGCTGTTTGGCTAGAATTTAACCATCTGCAGTTTGTCTTAACCCTGTTAGCTTCCTGTTCAGGCACTTCAGTCTTGAGAAAATTAGTGGGAAAGATGTAAGAGGCTGGGATTTTAGATACATGAAGGGCATCAGTTTGTTCTACCTGGGATTTACTTCTCTGGAAAAGAGAGGGGGAAGAAAGGAGGAAGAAAGGGAAGAGAGAAGGGGAAGAAAGAGAGAGAAATTGAGATTACTTTTTGTTACTTAATTGACTTTAACTCTTTATATTCTACCTTCTCTGTGGCAATAATGTAATAATAAAGATAAATAGTATAATAAATATTACATGACATATATTTATAGTATATGGTGCAATGTAATATAAGGAGGTAAGAAAGGAGTGTGTTTGAAAAATCAAAAACTTGAAACAAATATAAATCATTATCTTTAGTGTCAATGTTAAGAGAACAACAAAAATAGCAATTAAAGTCCATGATCCTTGAAACCAATAAAGAAAACAAACAAAACCTGCCCTGGAAGTTAAAACTTTTAGAAAGCTGGTTATATTGATCACACACCTTTATGTTTTGTGTTTTTTCTGAATTCTTATTAATTTTAATATACATACACATGTAGTGTTTCTGAATCAGCACAATATTTTAATAACTGTCAGGTTTTTAAAATAGGTTCTCTAGGTAGCAAAGATTGAAAGCAAATCACCAGCAGGAATAGTCAGTTTAAACTGCACAAAAAGTGACATTGTTTAAAGGTTCATAAGAGCTATTTAGCCAAATCCAATTGTTTGCCAAGAATACATAAATCATACTTATTCAGATCTTCATATCTTAGTAAATCTGCATGTACTAAGATGGAATTTATAACTGAACATAGTATAAATCATAATGTAAGGGATTTAAAAATATTTTTAACATCAGAAAATTGACTAGATAAGGGTAAAAAGTATATAACAAGTTGGACCAGTATTACCCAAGTTCTTGAACATTGCAGACATTACTAGTGGATTTCAGCATCTTTCTACTGAGATGGAAATCGTCTTAACATCCTTCTCACTTTTCCCAGCAATTGAATCAATCAGTCTATACTTAATGACAGAAGCTCTTAAATTTAAATGTTTAACTTTTAACATTTTTAAGTATATAAGTGGAATGAATTTGCTTAATTCTTAAGCAAAGCTAGTTTTAAAAAAATACCCCCTTACACACAAACAATAGTTTTCTTTTTTTGGGAAGACACAAATTTCAAATTCGAGTGGGTATTTTTTTTTAATCAGCTGCCTGTCTTCTTGACTCTCCATTCTGGGAATGGTACTGGTGTCTCTCAGTAGGAGATGCCAAGTAAATGAAGCTTGCCCAGCAGGAAACCCTGCTTGGCAATTCTAACAAGGCTTGAAAAATTGGTTTCCTCACTGAAAACAAAAGAAGCTGCCTATCTGGTGCACTTACGACTTCTGGGTCCCACTTTGATGGGCTGCTCTACTTGAACAAAATATTGAAGCATAAGAAATACAAATGAAAATCAAATTCTTGGTAATGACGGCATTAAACATTCACTTTGACTATGGGGGATAAAAATTCCATTTCCTTGCAATGCATTGCCTGGTGGACAGGTTGTATTCCCAGGGTTTGGAAGGCTTTGTCTCCTGAATGAGACTTAGCACTCACTAGCTCCTACCAATTGTCTGCATCCTTCCTGTTTCATTGCTCTTTGATCATGGTAATGACCGCTAAATTCTATTCAACCTTCGCCATGAGCCAGTGCCTTCCTTGAATTAACACTTAAGCTCCATTGGCTATTGAGAGAAGTTAGCGCTAACATCTTTACAAAAACATGGAAATAGAGACAATGACGGGTTGGGTTTATTTTCTCAAATCCACACTCTAGTAAGTGGCTCACTGTACACTTTAATGCTTCTAATCTGTCTCTAAGACATAAGGGTATAGTCACTAGGTCCTCCACCCTACTCTGTGTGCCTCTTCTTTTTCCATTTCCTTCTTCTCTTCCACATTCCTTCATCTACCTTTCTTCTTTCCCCTTCCCTTTAACTTCTGCCTCTCTGCTTTTATTTACCATTTCACAGTATTTTGAGGATTGCTTTTCAGTTCAAAATAGAATTCTGCTCCTTAAGTAGAGTTAAAAAAGAAAGAAAAATGAAAAAAAGTAACTTATTATTTATTTTAATTCTGCTCTAGCACTTAACGTTTTGGTAATAAGCTATTATCATGTTCATGATTGCCATACTCATCCAGATCCCAAATTTCTGCAATTAAATTTATACCTTTAATCTGCTATTCTGTATATATGTGTATTTATGTCCTTGCATATACACATAAAATATATACATACAAGAGACATGCACATGTTTATTACTAGCTCACATTTTGAGGTTTTGGTGTTGTTGGATTTTGTTTCTCAATTATAAACAATATTTCCAATTCTACCATCATCCTCTAGAGAAGACCAATAAAATTTGACTCATGAAGCGAGAGAAGGGAAAAAAAATCCAGGAGGCAAAAGTAATATTAGGAGAAAATGAAAGAGATTTAGTGCTGCTATCAGCAGACCGTTGTGCTGTCTTTAAGAGTCTGTTGAAACAACATAATAAAAGGTAATAAAGATTGGATTTATAGCTTACCTGCTGGAAATAGCTTCCTGTTTGTATCCTATCCATTTGCAGTCCGTCTTTGTCTTAGACATGGGGTCTTTTCTTTCAGAATACTACTGCCCCTTACCCAACATCAGTGAGCCTTCAAATAAAGTTGGAAGATAAAGTCAGCATCCTTTGGCTCCCTCTCTTTCTTTCTTTGTACTGTGATTTAATGACACAGAGGCTTTATTTTTTGAAAGTTCTATTTGGAATAGATAGTGCACATTGACTACTAGGAGAGAGTACAGAAACCAAACCCTGAACATAGACAGGCCAACTCCCAGAGGGCTTGCTGTTTCAACTTTATGTTCAAATAAATCTCTAGCATCCTCAATCATTGCCCATCAAGCTTTTGAGAGACAGATGGCACCCATACCCCAGCAGGGAGGCTAAGTTAATTATCAAAAGACAAACAGACAATAAGTACCCACAAAAGTTCTGGAACATGCTTTGAAAGGAGGCCAGGACAGAATTCAGACTGTTTAATGTACAGAGCTGAATCTTAACCTAGTCTGACTATTTGCTTGAGTAAAAATGGAATGAGTCAGCTAGAAGATTAGGGAATAAAGAAATTTGAAGGCCCAAGTTCATGACCTAATTATCATCCAGTAATAGACATATAGCATTTTAGTCTCTTTGGATCTCAGTTCCTATCGTATGAGAGGGGTCGCAAGATAGAAATTGCTGACATGACTGCTCCATTACTAGGATAATGTGTGTGTGTGTGTGTGTGTGTGTGTGTGTGTGTGTGTGGTGTGAATAAAAAAGAAAAATATCCAGAGTCACCTGGGTGAGACCAGAGTAGAGAGAAAGAAGCACAGAGAGGGCCTATCCTTGGCTATTGGCAGGAGGGCCTATCCTTGGCTATTGGCAGGAGGGGTGAAAGAGCACAAAGGAATGTGAAAGGGGATAGCAGGGGAGAATAGTGGAGATGGCAAGATAGCGAGAAACAGAAAATATAGCATAGCAAGACAGAGGAGGATAGGAAGAGTAGCTGGCTTACAAGAAGGATGAGTTGGTGGGGGAGTAGAAGCCCAAGAGGTAGAAAAAGTTTAGGGTACAGGAAGAGGTAAGAAATGCTAGGATATAGCATGGACTTTGAAATGTATGGCAAGTACTTGTGAGTAGGGACGGAAAAAGATTGGAGACGGTGAGGGCTCTGATATGCTGATAGGTGCCGCAGTATAGGTCAATTGGAGAGCTACAGACCCTTCTGCCAGAGGTAAGGGAAATAATTCCTTTTGGGGAAAATTGGTTTCACAAGTTCATGAGGAGTTTTGGCTTTTATGTAGCTGACAGAAATTCTTTTGTAGTTGAGCCTGACCTCATTGTTGGACTCATGGACTGCCTGCGAGACCCAACATTCCAGTTTTTTTGTTGTTGTTGTTGACTACAAAGACAATGTTATCTCTGACTACTCCATAGCTTAAATTCCTAGATCTAGGAAGGCTAGAAGGCCAAGAGGCTAGTATGAAAGGGAGAGGGAAAAGATTGAGCAAATTTCATCAGAAACATCTGGTTTGCTGACTAAGCCTAAAAACAAAAGAAACAAACACATTATTCTAAAGAGGACAGAGGTTAGTAGTTTGAGGAGATGAAGAAGCTAAGCACCCAAGAGAGGCCAAAGAAGAGCCTTGGTATTGGTCCCTGGAGATTGTAGATTACAAGCCAGTTCTCGTTCTTTTGTCTGATTTTGGCACCAGATATATGTGAGGGGGCACAGAAAAGAAACTGCCAACATGACCATTCCATTATTTGGGGGAAGGCTTTATTGTAAATAAGAGGCACCTGGAAGAGTACAGCACAGGGAGAAAGAGAACCGGACTGAACATTGACTGAGATCGTGAGAAAGCAGGGGAGGCTAGCAGAGGTGGAGAGACAGCAGGGGACAGAAGTGAGCATTGTGAAAGTGTGTGGGGTCATCAAATCATGGGGATTATAAGGAGGATAGGTAGTTGGGGGCAGGAATCTAGTGTGGACTTTGAAATGTAAAACAGGTACATGTGATGAAGGACCCTGGATGTCAAAATGGGCTTTGATATGCTGATAGCTGCCACAGGTATCTACCAGTGAAGAGCCATATGACCCCTTTTTGCTATAGGCAAGAAAAATGACTCCTCTTGAGGGATGAAAAAATCCCATTTTACAAGTTCCTGAGGAAGGCTGGCTTTTATCTAACTGAAAGAAATATTTCTATAATCCTCCCTAAGCTTATTTTGACATATGGACTACCTAAGACCTAACTCACATACGCACAGAGTCTTTGTCTGTAGGGTCGGTTACGTCTCTAATATTCCAGACATCCTTAAGAAAGATAGCAAAATACCAGTATGGTTTTGAATCTAGGTTTTTATTAGTAGGCCCATGATTAACATCTCTTTCCTGGAAAATAACCCTTATTTCATATATGTATATATATATATATATATATATATATATATATATATATATATTCTCATGGCTTATTTCTAGAATTGACCCAGTCAACTATTTGAGCCTAGGAAGGTTCAGAAGTTATGTGAGCTAAAATTTATGATGGTCACTTCTCTTTCTTTTGTCTCTGAATAATGGCTAAAACCAAAAAGGAAGTCTGTATCTTCTGGTGAGAAAGTAGAATTGTGACCAAAGGGTTTTAATAGCAAAGAAAGAGCATTACAGCAGCAAACAGATAAGGTTGAAAGAGAGATTCCATTATCAGAATATGAATCATGACAGTAGACTGACTGGAATACTGAGGTAAGGACAGATGTTTTTGGCAGAAACCTACGATGTCATCAACACAGAGGAGCATCCCAGCCAGGGTTGTGCTTTCAGAACAGATCAGTCTGAAGAACATGGAATGAGGGTTTTGGTCTTGAAGGTGGTGAGTATCAGGTTTTTCTAAGGACATGGGCACTTACCAACTGGGTAAAAATCCTCACCTGGGAAGTCAGGCCAATGGAAGGATAGAGTCAATGCTTTCACAAAGTGGTCCACATCTGCAATTTGGGGCCAATTAGTGACGTCTGATCCTGAAGTTACTGTGGGGATTTTGATATCTTTGTTGGAGGAAATCCCACCAATTTCTTTCCTATTTTATTTTCCATCTTCTCCATTTCCAAGTTTCTATTTTTCTTCCCTTATATTTCTTTTTCTGTTTATTTTCTCTTTTCTTATCTCTGGATCTCATTGTTTTTGTCTCATCTTCCTTAATCTTACCTTTTCCTTCTCAACCTTATGTTCTTCTTCAGCCTTCTCCTGTCTTCTTCCCACTTTCTCTTCTGTCTATTTTCTTTCCCCCATTTTTATGGTTTTTTCCTCCTCTCATTTTTATTTATTTGTTTTTATTTTTTAAAAAGTGTCTTTTTGCTCTCTGTCCTAGACTCTTTCTTCTTTGTATTTGCTTTCTTTTTCTTTTTGTTTTACACATATACACACAGACTTTCCATAATTATGATTGCCAGCAACCTCAGGTTTTCTGGAGAGATGATTGAGTTGTATGAAATACCCTGTAATTTCTTTACCTGAATTCCATAATGATGAAACTCTATGTTCCCAACTTCTGAGCTAAGTTAACACTTAGAAAACTAAACGTGAGTTCAAGGTAATAGAGTGTCTTAGTTAGGTTTTTGTTGCTGTGATAAAATGCCATGACCAAAACAACATGTGGAAGGAAGGATTTATTTTATTTTACAATTCTCAGGTTATATTTCATCACTGAGGGAAATCAGGGCAAGAACTTAAGGCATGCACCCAATGGCAGGAACCAAAGCAGAAGCCATAGAGTGATGTTGCTTCTTGGCACATTCCTCCTGGTCTCCTCCATCAGTTTTCTCACACATGCCAGGACTTCCCACCTAGGAATGGCACCAGGCATAAGCCCTCCAACACCAGTTATTAATCAAGGCAATGTTCTATAGCCCTGTCCGCAGGCAATCTGGTGGAGGTATTTTCTCAACTGAGATTCTTTTTTCCAGATGTTATAATTTTGTCTAGCTAATACAAAACAACAACTAAGACAGAGGCCCCCTAAGTAGAAGATCTGAAGTTCATGCTCAACTCTGAAATTCAAACAGGATGTTAAATCATGTGAGTGACCAGAGAGTCAAATTATAAGGGCAGTTTTATGCTTCTAAGACTCAGGAGCAGCTTGTAGGGTCATGTTGGTCTGTCGTCCTTCACTTCTTCCTTCCATCCCTCTCTCCCTCCCTCTGTCCCTTCTTCCTTTCTTCCTTTTCCTTCCTTCCTTCCTTCCTTCCTTCCTTCCTTCCTTCCTTCCTTCCTTTCTCTCTCTCTTTCTTTCTTTCTCTCTCATTTATTTATTTACAGGTTTCAGAATGAGAATGTTAGGTATATTTCTGTGAAAGGGTATTCAAAATCTGTAGAACTTCAGTCTCATAAAATATGCTCTTTTCATTGCTACTTTTTCCCGTTGAAAAATATGCATGTAAAATTATAACTTTCCTAAAATACATTAGGCACAAGTTTCAAATATTCAGTGAAAAGCTACTGTATCTGTAATAGCATCACACAGAGTGTCAGAGAGTACCAGTTTTGTATGGTTTTACTGTATCTGTAATAGCATCACACAGAGTGTCAGAGAGTACCAGGTTTGTATGGTTTTACTGTATCTGTAATAGCGTCACACAGAGTGTCAGAGAGTACCAGGTTTGTATGGTTTTACTGTATCTGTAATAGCATCACACAGAGTGTCAGAGAGTACCAATTTTGTATGGTTTTACTGTATCTGTAATAGCATCACACAGAGTGTCAGAGAGTACCAGGTTTGTATGGTTTTACTGTATCTGTACTAGCATCACACAGAGTGTCAGAGAGTACCAGTTTTGTATGGTTTTACTGTGTCTGTAATAGCATCACACAGAGTGTCAGAGAGTACCAGTTTTGTATGATTTTACTGTATCTTTACTAGCATCACACAGAGTGTCAGAGAGGACCAGTTTTGTATGGTTTTACTGTATCTGTAATAGCATCACACAGAGTGTCAGAGAGTACCAGGTTTGTATGGTTTTACTGTGTCTGTAATAGCATCATACAGAGTGTCAGAGAGGACCAGTTTTGTATGGTTTTACTGTGTGTGCAAGTAATTTCTGTGGGATTTTC